CTTTACAGTCCATCTGCACTTGTTCCTCCATCCAAATATTCTTGAATAGGTGAAGCATGTTTGTAGTTACTTTGATGTTTGACTTCAGTGCTTCAGCTGGTATATTGTCAAGTCCTGCTGCTTTCCAGCTCTTGATTTGTCTGATGGCCATCCTGATTTCTTCGGTCGTTGGTAGAGTGACATCGATAGGAAGGTCTGTGTTTACTGCTTTGGTGTCCGGTGAATTCAATGGAGCAGGTCTGTTCAACAGTTCCTCGAGTTATTCTACCCATCTGTTCCTCTGTTCTTGAATCTCAGTGATTGGCTTGCCTTCTTTGTCTTTGACCGGTCTCTCTGGTTTACTATATTTCCCTACCAGTTTCTTCGTCATGTCATATAGTTCTCTTATATTTTCTCTTGCAGATTTTTTCGCTGTCTTTGCTAGCTCTTCCACATATTTCTGCTTGTCGGTTCTAATGCTCTTTTTTACTTACTTGTTTGCTTCTGTGTATTCAGGTTGTGCCTTCACCTTTTCTGCTCGTGTTCAGCTGTTGTTAATTACTCTTTTTACTCTTCCTTTCTTGAATCTTTTCTAGGGTTTCGATAGAGATCAATTCATTGTTATAATGCTTCTTGACGCTCAGCACTTCCTGACACGTTGAAGTTAGTGCTTATTTGATCCCTTTCCAATTGTCTTCCATCGTAGTTTATTCTTCGAGTATACCTTGTAAGATTTGGAACGTGTTCTTGAGAGTTATCTTGAATTGGTTGAGTCTGTCAGTATGCGCAAGGAAGGTTGTATTCAACCTTTGTAATACTGTTTCCTCAGTTGTCGACTGCTTCTTTAGCTTCAATTTCATCTTGAAGACCACCAGGTGGTGATCTGAAGCTATGTCAACTTCTCTACTGCTTCTTACGTCTTCCATTTTCCTTCTGGATTTTTTAGTTATGCAAATATGATCGATCTGTTTTTTAGTAGTGTGATCCGGTGAAACCTATGTGCTCTTGTGTATGCGTTTGTGTGGAAATATTGTGCCTCCTATAACCAATTTGTTGAATGCGCATAGATTTGCAAATCTATCACCATTTCCGTTCCTTACTCCTCGTCCATGTCGTTCCATTATACCTTCATATCCGTTTTTGTCCATTCGGAATTTGGCGTTTATTTCTCCCTTTAGGATGGTCAGATTTTTTCCTGAACACTTCGCTATGATTGATTTGAACCTCTCACATAACTGATCATTATTGTCATCGTTGCTATCATCAGTGGGTGCATAACACTGTATTACTTCCATCGTGATTCCAATCCTATAAGTGCATTTCGTACTTCTTTAGACAGTATCAGAGCAACTTCCTGAGTGTGCGGAGCATTTTCTACGTGTACGAAGTACGGCAGCATCTCCCGTACCTAACCTTTACTGTCCAGCGTGGATGCTATGGGTTTCGATGATTTCGAGCACCATTAAGTTGTATCTGCTCATTTATGTTTGTATTTGATTCTTCCCCCTGGTCTCTCACATTGTTCTGACGTTCCATGTACTTATAAAGGTTGTTGTCCTGGTTGTTATAAGGGGCACCGGCCTCATGACTTCCGAAAAATCTCGGCTTTCATCATGAGGCGCCATAATTCTTCCTTCAACTTGTAATGCAAAGTTTAAATGGTTTTAATTGTTTATTCTGGTCTGGATTTTTTTAGCAAGATTATTTTGCACGGGATAAGGTTGCTGACCCCACACCCAATGCTTCTCCTTTGTGTGGGCTTGTTACTATCAGTAGCCCTGAAAGAGCTACAGGCTGAGGTTTTAAATAAAGATACTAATAAAAAACCCAATGCTTCTTTAGAAACATTCAATAACACCGTAAAAATGTCCAAAGTTTGTTTCGTCTATAACCTCGAACTGCCTAATAAGTTAATTTTTAGAACAACGAATATAGACATTATTTCTTGAAATAGTTTGAATCCATTGGAATGCTTTTACTGTCAACACCGTAAATCCATAGGACTACTTCGTGTATGCGGTGTCAGAGACTGCTTTTTATAACCTCTCCAATTGCCAGCAGGTAACTTTGTCCCAGGTCGTGGTTATCTTGGAAAAACGCCTTACTGTTATTACGGTTGCAGTACGACCTCAGCTTCGCACATTTGATTAGCTAATTTTGACTTCACTGCTCTCCAACGTATATGCCTTAGATAACAGCTTCAATGAACTAGTGTTCCACTCGGTGAAGCTCGATTAAGTTGTCAAGATATATAACTACGGTCAGGAGTATACGTATTTTTAGACAGTTACCTGTCTTCCCAACAAAATGTATAAGAGACAGGTCAATTGCATGATATAATCTTAATTCCTAAACCTTAAATGTCAATCCAACTATCGACAATAATAACTTGATTAAAAACGGAACTTAATGAGCTAACAGTTGTTGTTTTCTCTAACCTCATAAGATCAAAAACATGAATCACGCTGCACTAAACTAAATTTAAATCATTATGAAATATCGTAACTCGTTTTAAAATCTTATAATTCCTTGTTGAATAATGAATCTTATTCACATTCTGTTGGGATGTGAAATGTCACATTTTGATATTGTCCAGTCAATGGTGGTTATTATAATTGTCAAGTTTATGGTTTATTTCTTGAAAAAGATTATTTTCTTAGTGTTTCACACATCAGGATGGTCAGATTATATTCAACTTCCTAAGTATATGAACGTTAGGAAATTATCGAAGTTTACTGAGGATGATGAAGTCATACATTTACCATTTATAGTTTCGTATACTTGTCTTTGAGTCACACTTTGGACATGTATGAGTTGATGTTACTATTTGTCTACGGAAGGCTAAGTAAGTGGATTGGGACTGAAACTTGCAACTCAATAGTTTGAAGTCAAGTCATCAACGCACTACTCCAAGATGTACGTTGAATAGTTAGTAGATTTTTCTAGTTGAATAGCATAAAGACAACATAAATTCTAATTCCATTGATGTATACTTACATTCAGATGGATCAAAACTCGTGTATGATAAGTAATTATAAATAGTACTAACTGTCAACTATTGTTCAACTTACTTACGCCTGTTACTCCTCGTGAATATGCATAGACCGCTCACCAACATTCCCTATCCTGGGCAATCCTCTCCAGCTCTTTCCACTTGTTATTCGTCCTTTTCATATCTGCTTCTATTTCCCGACGTAATGTGTTCTTTGGCCTTCCTCTTTTCCACTTCCCTTCACGATTACAAGTTAGCGCTTGTCTCGTGGTGCAGTTTGATGATTTGTGTAATGTATGTCCTATCCATTTCCATCGTCTTTTCCTAATTTCCTCTTCAACTGGAACCTGGTTTGTTCTCTCCTACAAAAGGCTGTTGCTGATCGTATCTGGCCAATGGATGTTGAGTATCTTGCGAGAACAGCTATTTATGAATACTTGTACCTTCTTGATGGTGGTTGTTGTAGTTGTCCAGGTTTCAGCTCCGTACAGTAGAACTGCCTTGACGTTGGTATTGAAGATTGTGACTTTGATGTTGGTTGAGAGTTGTTTTGAGTTGCATATGTTCTTCAATTGAAAGAATGTGGCCCTTGCTCTGCCAATCCTCACTTTTACGTCTTCATATGAACCTCCTTGTTCATCAGTGATGCTTCCCAGGTATGTGAAGGGTTCTACATCTTCCAGAGTTTCTCCATCAAGAGTGATTGGATTGTTGTTCTCCGTGTTGAATTTGAGGGTCTTGGTTTCTCCCTTGTGTATGTTCAGGCCTATAGAAACAGTACTAACTCTCAACTATTGTTCAAGGATCATGATAAAAATTTAATCATTTTAATTAGGTTACGAATTTTTCTTGTGTTACTTAAAACTTATTAAAACAGTTAGTCCCTTTGATAAATTTTGATAATGCAATGAGAAGACGAAGTTTATCAGAATTATGTGATATATTAGCGCAATACATTTCGAACAATCTGATCACACATATACTTGTTAAGAGCATTTATATATAAAAAAATAAAAGGTCAACTAGACAGGTTAAGGGTAAGTCATGACAAAGGAAAAAAATATTAAAGCACACAAAAACAAATGTGATTACCACTCTGGATAATAAATCAGTATTACCAGGGTAGGTTTAGTGTAAGGACAAATTGTTTTTGAACACATAAAGGGGGTTTTAGTTTCCGTATAGCCAAGGCTTCAATAAACCTTAGTATACGTCCTTTAAGGCTTTTGTATAACACTACAAATGCTGATTTGATGTCGACCTTATGACCCGTTTCAATCAAATGTTTCGCAATGGAGGATGATGTCTGTCTATCCTGTGATCTTATTTGACCATTGGAATCCATTTGTTTTTGCAACCATTTTGGTATGTGTTAACCCATCCTTAATTGCAAATCACGATTGCTCCTCCCTATATATAAATGCTCTTAACAAGTATATGTGTGATCAGATTGTTCGAAATGTATTGCGCTAATATATCACATAATTCTGATAAACTTCGTCTTCTCATTGCATTATTAAAACTTATTAGTTAATAGCCTATAATTTAAGTTTCTTGTTTGTAATTGAATCCTCTTGGAAACTAATTGTCCAATATTATAGTCAATTATATGTTATCATATACTACTACTAATACCATTACCGTTTTCTTATATTCTACTAAGATCACATTAAGGATGATTAATAAGATTATGAAGGGGTTAAAACTTCCAACTGATCATAACTCAAGTTCTAATCCGTCCCCTCAGACTTTTTTTTGGTTCATATAGCGATGAAAGCATCATTAAACTATCATACAAAAAAATGGAATATGATCCAAATTCGATGATTGATAGTTCTCTTTATATAATCCATTATATGATAGTCAATTCAATTACTTAATATGCTTTGATTATTCCGAAAATCTTGTGTATACAAACCTTTTCTAAAAATCTTATTTTATTTTAGGTTTTACGCTAATTAACTAGCAACAGTTTTATACGCACACACACACACACACACACTGATATTTTTCAATCTTCATCTCCACTATGCTACAGGATAGTGGTGGTAAACGAGAATTTCGTTGGGAATCGGGCTATGAAAAAACATGGTACGTTTCTTTTTTAATGTTCATGTTAATCATAACAACTTTAAACTGGTCTTTATTGGTTTTGCTCTTAAAGAATTCATTGCTTTCAATGGATTAGAAGTATACTTATTATTATTAGCCTTATTCAATATTTTGATTGAGATCATCAACCGATTGATGTTAGATCACCATTGAAAACTTGGAAGCACTGGATAATCGTTTCGTCCTATTGTGGGACTCATCAACAGTGCGCATCTATTAGGGTCTTCAGTCTTGTTTGCGAACTCTCAACTTCTAGGCTATTCAATATTATATTTTTGGTACAATATTAAATTCTCAACACAAAGTATTTCAGCAAGTTTCCGTCTTTTATTTTTTAATCGATATTGACGATAAATATTGAATGATCACTAGTTAGATATTAGCACTTCAAAAATTGACATCTGAATAATATTCATTCTTTTCAATGCACATAGCCAGTTATCATGATATCTGCGATTGTAGATTTTTTTCACTTGTACAACGAAGAAAGATCGTAAACTTTTCACAACTGCACTTGAATTGGTTATACATTTAATTGACATGGAAATAGATAACTCGTTGAAATATCTAGATAGATGGCGGGAACAAGTAACCCAGATATTCAAACAGGTCACCTGAGTATATCATTAATTATTGATAATATTCAAACAACCATTTAAAAAAAATGTTTCGACTTCATTAATGATCATTATGTGACTTCAATGTTTGTAGCTGATTGACTTACTGTTAGATAACCTTTACAGATGGTTGAAAGAGAAGATTCTCATCAGCCCTTGTGGTTTGGTGTGTGACGAAATCTCAGCACGGACATAGAAGGCTCGACTAGCTTTTGCCAACTTGCGTCATTTATGGCGTACGCGAGATATCTGTCTATCGATCAAAGGACGTGTTTACTGCGCAGCAGTTCGTTCTGTCCTAATTTATGGCAGTGAAACATGGCCGGTAAGAGTAGATGATATTCGTAGGTTACTAGTATTCGACCATAGATGTCTTCGAAACATTGCTCGTATATCTTGGGACCACCGATTAAGGAAACGGGTACTAGGTAAGGATGGGAAATCAATTGATGAAGTAGTGGAACTTAGTCAGTTGAGATGGCTGGGACATGTGTTACGTATGCTCAACCACCGACTGCTCCGACGTGCGATATTTTATGGTGTAGGAATAGGTCGGAAGAAAGCTAGGGGCGGCCAGACCGAATCATGGCACAAATCCATGAAGTCACTAACAAGTGGACTGAGCCATGTTGGTAGGTGTATTTATATTTATTATTTATTTTAACACATAGTTATCGGTAAAAGAAGGCACCAAATACATATGCGCCACACAGATCTCATTTCATTTGTGTGAGGGCTGTGATACTGCCCGGGTGCCCAAACCGAAGCAGGGTTGGTAGGTGTAGACTATCTGGTTGGGATCCGCGAGATGATAGCAACCGATGGCTAGAGACCTTGAATGACATGGCTGAAGATCGTTTGCAATGGTATGTGCAGGTGTATCCACTCTCTGTGTTCTCCCAAATTCTAATCTTTTGAATTCTTCATATCCCTTTCTTTTTTCTGTTTCCAAATTTATTCCATTGGATTATACTCCTTGAATAACATCTTCAAACCCTAATGTTTCCGATCACTGCTTATACTGACTTTTACTACCTCTACTACAGTGGGATTTGAATCGACAACTGCATCTCTGTGCTAATGTGGTATGGCAACTCGAACTGATGTACGTACGTACGAAGTTCCACGTTGTTACTGACTGACTGACTGACTGACTGACTGACTGACTGACTGACTGACTGACTGACTGACTGACTGACTGACTGACTGACTGACTGACTGACTGACTGACTGACTGACTGACTGACTGACTGACTGACTGACTGACTGACTGACTGACTGACTGACTGACTGACTGACTGACTGACTGACTGACTGACTGACTGACTGACTGACTGACTGACTGACTGACTGACTGAGAGTCAAGAATGATTCTTCATAAAACCAATTTTAGTTTTCTCTCGTTAAATATGAACACTAATTGCTGTATGTATGTTTAATAATAATAATAATAATAATAATAATAATAATAATAATAATAATAATAATAATAATAGTAATCATATAGAACAAAAAAAACGGTGAATGATTGATTTAATAAAGATTTCTATGTTCCGTAATCAATAATATCAATAAAATCTTAAAACGGCATGAATTAGACCACCGTAATAACAATCAATAATAATAACAATAATATGTTTGTTAAATTAATATTCATTTATTAAGTAGAGTAATTTTGTTACTGTTCTCCGTAAATTATTGATTTTTTTCCAATAAATATATTATTAGTAACAGAAGGAGTTTTGTGGAGATTGTAGTAATTTCAATGGTTGAGATCATGAGTCCATTGAAGCTAAATCACCATGAAAACTTGAAAGCACTGGACGGTCGTTTCATCTTATTGTGGTACTCCTCAGCAGTGTGCATCTATGATCCCGCTCCACGAGATTCAAACTCAGAATTTATCGGTCTCGCGCGCGAACGCTTAACTTCTAGTCAAACTGGGAAATAATTTCGCATTTATAACTATAAAGCTGGGTTAACAGGTTATTGAAAATGATAGGACGAAACGGCTGTGCAATGCTTCGAGGTTTTCCATAGTGGTCTAGCTTCAATTGACTCATGATCTCAACTATTGAAATATATTATTGTTGTTTATTATTGAGTATGTTTTGCAATTATACAGAATTGAGAATGAATTCTTCGAAAAGGTCACTCCTCATGGAGTCAATCTTATTTGTCATTCATAATAACATTACAAATTATGAAAGTGTTTATAAAAATGATAATTAAAAATTAATATAGTAATTAGAAGGTGGACGAAGTAATTTTGATATTTTGCCGAGAGTGGGCAGAGTAAGCTCTCTCTCTCTCTCGAAATGCTCTCACATAGCCACTTCCAGGGAAGTTCTACTCACTGCCTTCTCGTGGTGGGGGTGTTGTTTACGAAATCGAGAGGATGAAAAGCGAATTTCCACCTAAGGGGCTTGGAAAATTCTGATTCCAAACTAATGGTGCACATGGGCTCCAGGCGCATGAACCTATTGTCGATCACCGGCTACCACGGGACTGCATCTTCTAACGTTGCTCCACTGCCTTGTGAATCAGATCTTTTGATCGAAGGTTCTGGGTGTTGCTCCCTAGGGAAACCACCTACTTTAGTCTGGGCGTCCGGGTGGTATCACAGCCTATGAACAAATCAAGTGACTTGTGTGGCGCATATGTATTTGGTGCCTCCTTGTACCAATATTTCTGTGTTTGGATAAATAAAAATAAAGCGTTAATGAATGAATGAACGATTTGAAACATGCAGTTATGGAATCAACGGATTTTGTTATATCTGTTGAAAAAGTATTAAATTTTCAATGAAAAATTAAATGTCTTTGTTTATGTCCACTTAATGTCCCATATTAATGAGATATACGAGTATAATAGCTCGTAATTAACTTAAACTGTCAGTTATATAACCAAATTGAATGGTGTTTGGTGAAGTGGTGATAATAATCAATAATTTATTTAGTACTAATAAGTGTTTGGTTGCACCTTTGTGCGGTGAGACTGATTTATAGACGACCTTTGAGTGACGCTAAAGTGACCTTGGGAGTGTTTATCTACTCACTAGGGCTAAATGAAGGTTATAAAGCAGTTTGAAGAATAAGGATTATAATTTACAGCTGATGGTTAGGGTTAGGATTTAGGGTTTTCGTCACGAACTGACATAAGCTATAATGCCGAGACGCTATTTAGCCAAATGGGTGAATGGATTTCGCTCCAAAATCTAAAACCTGTTATCGTAAATCTGATTGGTTCGTCCATAAATTATAGTCTCACCCCTTTGCGCTTGGAGCTGGATTCTCGGTCGTGAGGTTGTAGATGCGTACTGTAGAAGAGTCTCATAATGGGACGAAACGGCCGTCTAGTATTTCTAGGTTTAAGTTCCCTGCTTTTCATTAAAGCAGTTTGATAAAACAATGTTTTATAAGCATACTGAATTAGTATGCAAATTTATTGTTGTATATGTGTATGCAGTCCATGAATTTATCGTATACTAATATCAATTGATAGATCTTTAATATTGTTAAGTTTTGGTATAGACGACTGTTTATTAGGGGTTCTGATTAACCTACAATACTTATGAATAAAAGAACGATTGATCTATTCTAAAACGAATCGCTTTACTGTGAAATCGATACCAGCAACTGACATACAACACTTTCACCATTAGCTGCTAATACAGGAAGAAGACCAAGTGTAGGAAGAACAAGTTGGAATAATACAACTCAGTATTTATGTTAACTAAAGAATGATTTTTAAGCCTACAGAAAATCAGTGAACTAAGAATAGTTGGATTCAGATAGAAAAGTGTAAAAGTTGTGCAAATAATTGAATTAGATAGTAATATACGGTTACCGTTACAAGTAAAACTTTTGTATTATCCCATGATCCCTTTAGCATATAGACAAGAGCTATGATTAGATTTACTGTGTTATTTTAAAAATCAGAATTGACTCTAATGAAATTTTAATTTTTGATCTTTAAAATCGTTCAACAATTCATTAAATCAGAAGATAATTGTTTGTATCTACGATCTTGTATTCTTTAATCTATTTGTCTTGAACCATGTATACTAACCCGACCGTAGCTGCTACCTTGACGTGGTGGTCGGGCTTGCCTATCGTGATGACCCAACCGAGCTATATTGGCTGGAACTCAAGTTCCTGCAGGTTCTACCATGCCAGGCAGGTCGATTGGAGAACGGTAAGACTAAAAGCAGCAACTCAAGGTCTGAGGGCGAAGTCGTACTGCTGACTGTACAGAGGTGTGACAGCAGTAAGGTGTTTCCCTCGGACAACCAGCATCTGCAGCGATGCTGCCTTCTCACAAGGAAGGAAGGGGTTAGAAAAGGTTGACCCTAAAAATGTCACACCTCACCTTACCTCACGGATTTCCGTCTCCGGCGGTAAGGCCCTTTGAAGAACGGAGCTAACACATTAAAAACCTCCCACAAAAAGGCCGTGCGCGACCGGCCTCAAGCAGTTGTCCCTTGGGCTCTGCGGTCACGCACTCAGGTCGCTAAGACCAACACTAATCCGATTTCCTTTTCAGGTCCCCCAAGAAATACCCTTCCACGGTGTGGGCAACCGGGAAGTGATATCAGCCCTCATACCCGTAACAGCACACGAGACCAAGTTGGTCACATTCAAATCCTTCCTACACCTCCTAATAACTCTCTTATCTCCACGACTAACCCTTCTCACGTCCCTTTATCACCTCGCCCCGCTAGTGCGAACGATTCGAGTACGCGGAATGTTATTCCTGGTCTCCTGAAACCACGCTCTAAACTACACGTAGGAGCTTTCAACGTCCGAACACTGTGCCAAATAAGACAACAGGCTTCCTTAGCTAAGACTTTAGAATCTCGCTCCATCGATATGTGCTGCGTCTCCGAAACGCGCACACAGGATCCTAGTAGTGTCATTCATTTGACTGCACCATGCCAAAGTAACGAACCAACTCGATTTACGCTTCGTGTATCTGGAAGCCCTGATGCTGCATCCCGTGGCCTCGCTGGCGTAGGTATAGCATTGAGTCCTAGGGCAGAACTAGCTCTCTTAGACTGGATCCCAGTAGACAGTCGTTTGTGTGCTGTCCGACTAAACGGAACAGTAAGGATTCGAAAAGATAGGGACACTCGTCGTTGCCTCTTTGTTGTCTACGCCTACTCTCCCACTGACTACAAATCAGATGATGTAAAAGATGAGTTTTACAGAAAGCTTTCCGACCTTCTCCGAAAAGCTAGGCGTTCAGATGTAGTAATAGTGGCTGGTGACTTTAATGCTCAAGTAAGTAAACTAAGCGAAAGGGAAAGACACCTGGGTGGATCTTATGGTGTCGCGGCTCAAAGAACAGATAACGGCGACCGTCTGTTGCAGCTATGCTCAGATAACCGCCTGTTTCTTGCAAACACTAACTTTAAGCATAAGGAAAAACATCTTTTGACATGGCGACCCCCTAATTCGTCCCAACGCTGGACCCAAATAGATCACATCGCTATCAGCCACCGATGGAGGGGCTCGATAGAAGACTGTCGCTCATTCTGGAGCACATGCTTAGACTCAGATCATGCTCTGGTGCGAGCGCGTATTTGTCTACGTCTTACTGGACGTAGGAAACATGCTGCAAGGAAACCCCTTAGGGTCCTACTTAATGATAGTCAAGCTAAGAGTATATTTCAGGAACATCTAGAAAAACAGTTAGGCAGCCATGTAAGTGATACCCACCCCGAGGCAGCGTGGAATGACATCCGAAAAGCTGTAGAAACAGCAGTGATGTCAGCAAGTACGGTAAACCATAAGGTTAGGGAGAAACACTGGATCTCAGCAGCATCTACCGCACTGATAGATGCTCGAAAACTCATTCCATCTGGCTCTGAACATAACGAAGAGCGGAGTCAGCTTAAGCGTAAGCTCACTAGAAGCCTACGCAAAGATCGTGAACAGTGGTGGGTAGCGAAAGCAAGAGAGATGGAAAAGGCAGCGGCAATAGGTAACAGCAGGCAACTGTTCAGACTTGTTAAGGAAAGCGGTATTAGGAACCCAACTGTTAGCGAAACAATAGCAGAGAAAGATGGACATATTATTCATTCTCAATCCAGGAGATTGGATCGATGGGCAGAATACTTTAGGGATCAGTTCAACTGGCCTTCAGCCACACTTCGGTTTCCCACGATCCCCAGTCGACCTGAATGGCAAGTTGATGTAAGTCCTCCGACTCTTTACGAAGTTGAAAAAGCTATAGGAAATCTGAAGCGTGGGAGAGCAGCAGGCCCTGACAGGTTTACCCCTGAGATTTTTAAGGATGGCGGTCCAGTATTAGCAGCGAGATTGACTGAGGTCTTAGGTAGAATCTGGGAACTGGACGTAATCCCATCTGACTGGTCTCAATCACTGATTGTACCAGTCTATAAGAAAGGACAAAAGTCCTCCTGTGACAATCACAGAGGAATTAGTTTGACTAATATAGTGTCTAAAATATTAGCTTCAATAATACTTCGACGTCTAACCAAAGCTCGTGAAGAGCAGACTAGAGAAAACCAAGCTGGTTTTCGACCTGGACGTGGTTGCATTGATCAAATATTCACATTACGTCAGATCCTAGAACATAGACACACATTCAGACGCCCCACAATGGTAGTATTTCTCGACCTTAAGGCGGCATTTGACTCTGTTGATCGTAAGGTTCTGTGGCAATGTTTGTCACTGAAGGGAGTACCAAAGAAGTACGTCAACCTTATAAAGGTTCTCTACTCGAACACAACTGGTCGAGTGAGAGCTTATGGTGAACTGTCATCAGAATTGATTACCTCAAGTGGTGTTCGTCAGGGCTGTCCACTCTCTCCATTCTTGTTTAACTTTGTCGTTGACGTCCTTTTAGAGATGACACTTTCCTCATCTAAATTTCCAGGAGTTGAACTTCTACCGCGAGATCCACTTGTTGACTTAGAATATGCCGATGACATAGTTCTATTTGGTGAAGACGCTGACAAAATGCAGAGTCTGTTGACCACTCTAAGCAACAATGCAAGCCTGTTCGGCATGCGATTCTCTCCCTCGAAATGCAAAATGTTACTTCAGGATTGGGTTGCGTCGACACCGGAACTAGTGATAGGGAGTGAAGTAGTTGAGCGTGTCGACCGCTTCACTTATCTCGGAAGTCTCATCAGCCCTTGTGGTTTGGTGTGTGACGAAATCTCAGCACGGATACAAAAGGCTCGACTAGCTTTTGCCAACTTGCGTCATTTGTGGCGTAGGCGAGATATCCGTCTATCAACCAAAGGACGTATTTACTGCGCAGCAGTTCGTTCCGTCCTACTTTATGGCAGTGAGACATGGCCGATAAGAGTAGAGGATATTCGTAGGTTACTAGTATTCGACCATAGATGTCTTCGATACATTGCTCGTATATCTTGGGACCACCAATTAAGGAAACGGGTACTAGGTAAGGATGGGAAATCAATTGATGAAGTAGTGGAACTTAGTCAGTTGAGATGGCTGGGACATGTGTTACGTATGCTCAACCACCGACTGCTCCGACGTGAGATATTTTATGGCGTAGGAATAGGTCGGAAGAAAGCTAGGGGCGGCCAGACCGAATCATGGCACAAATCCATGAAGTCACTGACAAGTGGATTGAGTCATGTTGGTAGGTGTAGACTACCTGGTTGGGGACCGCGAGACGATAGCAACCGATGGTTAGAGACCTTGAATGACATGGCCAAAAATCGTTTGCAATGGCGCAGGTGCATCCACTCTCTGTGTTCTCCCAAACTCTAATCTTCTGAATTCTTCATGTCCTTTATTTTCTTTCCCAATTTATTCCACTGGACTATACTCCTTTAATAACATCATCAAACCTTAATGTCCCCTATCTCTACTTATACTTTCAGTACCTCTACCACTATGGGATTTGAATCGATAACTGAATCTCTGTGCTAATGTGGTATGGCAACTCGAACTGATGTACGTACGTACGAAGTTCCACGTTGTTACTGACTGACTGACTGATGTATACTAGCTGCTAGCTATCAATCACTTGTTGCGTTCCACTTGTGAAGTATTTCGGTCTGCTAAGTAACAGTATTATTATTATTATTATTATAATTGTTATTATTATTATTATTATTATTATTATTAAAAGGAATGCTATTCGTGAAGATGAGTCAGGACGTTTGGTGACAACACTGGAACAGTTAATACACGATGCACATACACAAATAAGAAAAAAACGCAGACGTATTGGTGTTGGATCTACCGGATTTGTACGATTAGGAATGGTTAGTTTCTCTCTCTCTATCTTTGTGTGTGTATAAAATTAAGAAACTATTGTTAAAGAGTGATTGATTTCTCTGAAATTAAGAAATTTCTCATATGGTACAGTTATATAATCATATATTCATTGGAATAAGTAAATTCGAAGAAGCTTACTCTACTTATTTATCCATTCCTTTATCTGTACAGAGTTTTAAACACAACCATTCAAAGTTTGTGTTACTACTGATGAATTGTGCACAATATTTTGGATATCATTTACAGATCGTGAAGTGAACAATGTGTTACGTATGCTCAACCACCTACTGCCCCGACGTGCGATGTTTTATGGTATAGGAATAGGTTGGAAGAAAGCTAAGGGCGGTCAGATCAAAACATGGCACAAATCCATGAATTCACTGACAAGTGAACTGAGCCATGTTGGTAGATGTAGACTACCTGGTTGGGGACCGCGAGATGATAGCAACCGATGGTTAGAGACCTTGAATGACATGGCTGAAAATCGTTTGCAATGGTGTGTGCAGGTGCATCCACTCTTTGTGTTCTCCTAAGTTCTAATCTTCTGAATTCATCGTGTCCTTTGTTTTCGCTTTTCAAATTTATTATACTCCTTTAATAACATCTTCAAACCCTAGTGTTTCCGATTACTGCTTGTAGTTTTACTACTTCTACCACTATGGGATTCGAATGTGGTATGGCAACTTGAACTGATATACGTACGTACGTAGTTTTACATTGTTACTGACTGACTGACTCAACAATTAACCGTGAGGGATGTTTATTCTTCCCGATAAAAGACTCTAATATGCCCATATATTATCTTTATTGAATCGTATCACAGAATTCAAGCGGTAATCCTCAAATGGATTTTGTTCAGATATTCTCGCTACAGAGCATTATAATTGCACATAGAACAAAAGAGATTGTTCATCTCAGTTCTCATAAACGTACCTTAATATTAATCTAACCGTTTTTTGACTATAAACTTACGGAAATTAATCTGATAATAATATTTTCGAGGGAGATAATTTCTGCGTTAACCTGTAATATCAACTAAATAGTTGAAACAATCAACTCTCAATGAACACACGGTACGTATTTCGAGTTCAATATCCTATATAGTATAATCAGCCCTGATACTCGCTTCATAACTTGACATTGAAATCTTGAACCTTAATTCGATTAATGAATTGTAATATCAAAAGACAATAGCAACCATAAAGTATTTAGAATAAGAAGAAATCCATGTGTGAATAAATGCCAACCAATCAATAGTACATTTTAACTAAATACTGGTTGGTTAAAAACGTAATAACATGACTGTAATAGAGGCGAACCTTTATGTATTGAATTGTAGTTCTTAATGTTGATTACTGAAATATATTGATTAACTTGTTACTAAATAATAGGCTTCATACAGGATAACGAAATAAGGCATACCTTCTAAACTGTTCTACTATTAACTACTCATATATGAAAAAGATAAATAACAACTGGAAAGAGCTGGAAAGGATTACTCAGGATAGGGTTAGATGGAGAATGCTGGTGAGCGGCCTATACTCCTTCATGAGGAGTATAACAGGCGTAAGTAAGTAATTAACTACTCATATGTAGTATCAGTTTATTCAATTTTCACATTTGAATTCTTTTTGTTTTTATTTCTAGATGAGGCATTTATTTCTCATTATTGATCTATCACAAGCAATGAATGAACAAGATTTGAAACCGAATCGTTTAATATGTACTATAAAGGTGAGTGACCATATATTCAATGCCTAGTTCGAGGGGAAAAACTAAACGATGAAAAACCAATAGAGAGGAGAGAGTTCAAATATGTTTAATTAAAACTGTTGTTACCAACGATATTGTATAAACGTTGTACTATATGTCGAACTGATTAAATATGAGCTTGTACTGTTAAATGCCAACCTTATAGTTCTAATGATCAGGTGTTTGAGATGAGACTAAAAACTCCTGGGGTTAGGACTATTTGGGAACCTCACTATAGGAAGTAACAATGGTCCAGTACTACTTGATTTTTAATTGTGCTCAAGATGAAATTAGTTTGGGATGAATACTACTTACGAAACACAAATAACTTTAGGGTAATTTTTTTAACGCGAATTTGCACTGCACAACTATTTCATACGGGTTTCGATCTTTATTTACAACAATGCTCATGTATTTTATGGTAACCTTCTTCTTCCTAAGCTAAATCCAGTTATTCAGCTATGTACACGTATATTTTTTTATTCTACAGTAGGACAAGGTAGATCATCACACAACTGAGTTTATTGTTTACGTCATCTATGGAATGTTCACCCAGTCAATAAGGAAATGAAAATGTTTTTATTAGATTTAGGAAATACCTTTGTACATCAATACTTTATACGTTTATATGCCTATTGTTATGAACCTAATTTGTCTGTATCTTTACTGGTTAGAGGTTATCATCATAAAGTCCGCTTATTATTAATTGAGCTTATGTCTAATAAACAAATGACTCCCTCTTTAACCAATGATATGATTGCTTTGAACGATGATCAATTATTCTAATTCTTATTGGCACACTCTGCTCCTTCCATCTGCACTGGCCAGTAATAAAACGAAAACATCGATTAAATTCACTTTCTATTATTGTATTGTCATCTCAACTCAATAATTTCACAGCATATTTTCTTATTAATGTTATTTGGGACCCATGAGATCGGCACGTAAGACAGGAGAGCAGTTGTACTAATTAGCTTTACTAGACTGCCTATCTAGTAACAATGACCAAAGATACGATAGACACAAGATCATAGGTAAGAGTAACACTAAATGACTATTGGTTCAGAATGCAATTTCCCTCAATTGTTTTCCCAATAGCCAGAATAAAGCAAACTACTGAGCAAGCAGACAACATTTGATTATACTGGTCGAATTTATAAATCACTCATGCGATATAATACAATGTAAAATCCTAACCACGTCACAACTGAAAGATGATTGAATGATAGGTCCGTAATGAGTTAACAATAACTTAGAAAAGGTAAAACACAACAGACGAAAGATTACAACTAGGGGGTGATATAAAATACAACAGATTAAGTATTTAGCAATTATACAATAAAAATATAAACTATAACTCTAAGTAGGACTGTTCCAAAACCTCAACTTAACTTCACATTTACCCTGATATAACAGTTATACACACCAATTACATGACCACAACTCATCACAAATAAGAAATTAAAATTTACACATAAGTAAGTATATATAAGACTGAATAATAAGCTTATAATTAATTACCAGTAACACAAGCGGTTTTGTGGAGAATGTAGTAATTTCAATAGTTGAAATCATGAGTCAAATGAAGCTAGACCACCATGGAAAACCTGGCGTCAGTAGAAGGCCATTTCGTACTATCGTGGGACTCTTCAGCAGTGCGCATTAACGAACCCAGGACATATCAGTCTTGCGCGCGATGGGCCGACTATATAGAAAACAATACGTTTAAAAAATTATATTTCAAATGATCTCGGTGACTGATGTGATGTCATCCATCTATCTTGTCTAGCTTCGATTGACTTATGATCTTAACTATTGAAATTACTACAATCTCCACAAAACCTCTTCAGGTTAGTAATCGAAATCATAATTATCGAAGAATATATAACGTTTGATAAAGAAATGTATGCTAACGCTCCACTTGGCATCCTTCTATGTTTGTTACCGGTCCCAAGCTAAGGCAAAGGAGGAGAGGTGGACTTCGGGTTAACAAGTCCATCCTGTAAAAAAAACCTTGCTCAAAATAGCTACACAATAAGAATGTACAATATTAGTTCTCTTTAGTGTACTTTCAAAAGTATCATCTCCCAGTTATTCTCCTAGGTTTAACTACTTGTTCATATCATTAACTATTACTCACTTAATTATGTCTGTTAACCATACTTAACAACTCAATTACAATTTAAGTAGATCATACTTGTTATTGTGCAATGTTGTACAATGTTTCGAAATTGTCTAATTAATTTGATAAAATGAATTTTTTATTGATTTCATTGTGAATCTTTTTTTTCGCTTTTTTTTGTTGCTATGGTGGATTAATCTAGGCCGCTTGTACATTTGTTCGAGAGTATTTCGATCAAAATCCTATCAGTCAATTAGGTATTATTGTCACTTCAGATCGAAGAGCTGAACGATTAACAGAATTATCAGGTTAGAGAAAGAGAAAGAGAGAAACACATAACCATTTTTTTTCTCTAATTTATTGTTATTGATTTCATTTTATGGGGGAAGGGGAAAAGTGTTTTTCATTTTGGTTGTTAACTCTAAAAAAAAGAAGTAAGTGTGATATCATAACTGTGATGATTGATTTAGCCGACATTTCCTTGGTACATTTTAATTGATTGATATTCAACAATGAATGATACCAGGAAAGGGTTTTGTAGAAATTGTAGTAATTTTAATAGTTAAATTCATGAATTGATTAAAGTTAAACCATAATGGAAAACCTTGGAAGTACTGAACAGCTGTGTGCTGGATTATAAATGAGCATTGCTGAAGAGTCTTATAGTAGGACGAAATGGCCGTCCAGTGTTTCTAGGTTTTCCATAATGGTGGTCTAGCCTTAATCTACTCATGATTGCAACTATCAAAATGAATTATACTCGTAAAATATTTTCTTTTTCAATTTTATTGAAAATTCTTTTCTTGTTGAATCGAAGTGGTTTGTAATATGTGTCTATACTACCAACTACCATTCTAGTGAACGAAAACTCAGCTGGGGGGAACTAATTTAATATTTAATGCCAAATTACAACTTACTTACTTACTTACGCCTGTTACTCCCCGCGAAGGAGCATAGGCCGCTCACCAGCATTCTCCATCCAACCCTGTCCTGGGCAATCCTTTCCAGCTATTTCCAGTTCTTATTCATCCTTTTCATATCTGCTTCTATTTCCCGACGTAATGTGTTCTTTGGCCTTCCTCTTTTCCACTTCCCTTCACGATTACAAGTTAGCGCTTGTCTCGTGGTGCAGTTTGATGATTTGTGTAATGTATGTCCTATCCATTTCCATCGTCTTTTCCTAATTTCCTCTTCAGCTGAAAGCTGGTTGGTTCTCTCCCACAAAAGGCTGTTGCTGATGGTATCCGGCCAATGGATGTTGAGTATCATGCGTAGACAGCTATTAATAAATACCTGTACCTTCTTGATGGTGGTTGTTGTAGTTCTCCAAGTTTCAGCTCCGTACAGTAGAACTGCCTTGATGTTGGTATTCATGTATCAAATTACAAGGTGTCCTCGTAAAATATTAAAACGATACATTGAATACATTTACACATCTTCCATCTGTTATCTCTTATAGAATTCATCGCTCCTTCATTTCTGTTGTTATTACATTTACTCCTTGTTTACATTCCTGTTATCTTCAGTTCGATATTCTCAATCCTATGTTGTCATGCATTCCACTTCCGATTGTTGTTGCATACTACTTAAATCTGTCAACATAAATAATATACACCACATCATAACATGTAACGCTGGTTATTGTAGGATTAGTTTGAAAAACGTCTGTGAAAAATATCAAGTCATGAAAATATGATAACTGTTCATGAAGGAATTGACAATATGACTGGATGTAAACGAAAGTTATACATTAACCTTGGTCTAGGATCACATAATGATCGTGATCAATGATTGGAGAGAATATGTGACATGATTCAGAATCGATTGTATTAGTACAGTTATCGCCTTGATTTTGATGTTCAGTTAAAATATTATTTCAGCTACTTTATTGTACGGATTCACTTGTATTTTTCATTGTACATTTTGTCCTTTTTAATATTTATTTTGATACATTCATCATGAAGTGTTTATGTGGTGTAAGGATTTCGGCGGATCTTTTGCCGTACATTAATTACAACTTACTGAAGTTTTGCTTAAGTAATGACCCGCTTTATTTTTGAAACAGGATGATAGTATTATTATTATCGCAGGTAATCTTGCGTACCTTTGAGGGTATGAGGGTGAATGTCACTTAATGTTGCTCACATCATGGAAGGATATTTATTCTTAAGGGATCTGAAATAGAAACTGGATTACTTGTTGCCGTGATGATCTGGTAAGGTGACCAAAAAGCCTAGGGTATAACTACTTATGACAGGTTATATACTGTTATTTTTATGGGAAGTTTTTGATGTGTTAGCTCCATTGTATTCCAACCATTTTTGTTATATACTCATTCAGTTTTGATATTTGTTGAGTATGATATTGGTATAAGTCGTAATTATTTAAATTTATTCATCACTAATTACTACAAAGTTAGTCTGTATATAAAACAAAGGGAGTTTAGCAATCATAAGCTAGGTTTTGTTTTCCAAATTGTTGGGGGAGGAGGGAAGGCGGCGGTTTTAATTACCAATTTCGGGAACAGTGTGGAAAAGAAATTACTTCGATTTTCCATTATCCTATGGTTCACTATTGTGTTGACATTTTTATATTGAGTAGCAAATATTGAATTTATAACAATTTCTAACTGATTTTAGGATTAATTCTATTGTGTTTTTTGAATTCTATCATTTTGTGTGCAGGTAATCCTAGACCACATCTTGCCGCTTTGCAGTCACTTTACACACGTACATGTATTGGTGAACCTAGTTTACAAAATGCTTTATTATTAGCTGAATCCAGATTGAAGTAAGTTGTTAATAGAGTTCATATAATTCTTATCTCTGACATATTTTTATTTTATTTTATTTGAGCACATAAATATTGGTATAAGGAGGCACCAAATACATATACGCCACACAAATCTCATTTGATTTGTGTGATGCTGAACGGGTGCTCAAACCGAAGCAGGTGGTTTTCTTAGGGGGCCACACCTCGACCTGATGATCTGATCCACAAGGCAGTGGAGCATCGTAAGGAGATGCAGTCCCATGGTATCCGGTGCCCAACGACTGGCTCATACGCCATTTGCTCCCTCAGGATACTGGAGCCCATGTACACCATTGGTTTTGGATCCGGTTAAAGTGCAGGACATTCGCTTTTCGTCCTCTCAATTTCGTAATTAACAGTGATGCCGAGAGAAGGCATTGAGTAGGACTTCCCTGGCCATGTGAGAGCATTTGGAGATGGAGAGCGGACTCTCCCCACTCTCGGTCGTACCAGGTCATTTGGGGGCCTCTGACATATATGATTTAAACAACTGGCTTGGTAGTTACTCAGATATATTTGCACTATCACGTAACCTAGTAGAGATTAGGAAAATGTGAAGTATTGAATCCTGATCTCGCTGACTGGATGGAAAAGAACAGAGCTCTATGATCTTTAATTGTTCCTTGTCCTATGAACAAGTTAGTGGCTAATGAGACTTAATGGCTTAGTAAATGATGCATTAGTATTTCAATAGAACAGTATTGTGTTTAAGTATCAATGCTAATATCAAAAGTATGTTGTGGGTGAATCCAACAGAAGTGTCTCTAATAGAACAAAACTTTCAATGTTAACCAATATGTAAATATATTTAAGACACATAGAAAAAATTCATTATCGATCCGCCCACTTATGATACATTTGTCTTAACGAAAGCTAATTTGATATCCAGTTTTAAATATCAATAAAGGGGTACCATAAACACTTAGTAGTATTTCATTTTAATAAAATAACAGCTGTATTCAATCTATACTGTTGTAGAACACAATTTTTTTTCAGACAGACATAATTTACATTCGCCTGTCACTCTTGCTTCCTATATACATTATCTTATTAATTCTCATTACATTACAAATAAATTTCGTTGATAATCGTCAACAACTATTTAAGTTAGTTTATATACAGTAAATAGAATGTGGCTAGCAGTGGAATCGAAGACCTTTGTTTTGTTCCTATTGGGACTCGTTGGTTGGATATACCTCCATGCTAGAGTTGATATCCACTTCGAAATTCGAACCCAATACCTTTCGCTCCAAACACCAAAGTCACTATCCACTTCTTAACTGAATCCAAACAACTGTTCACTTGTTCAAAGGATACATCGAGCTGACGAATCATAAATATGATAAAATGCTCTTTCTGGATTTCACTGCTAACCAAATCCCATCTACTCTAAATGAACTGGCGAAATAACGGTTCTATCAAGACAATCCTCACTGATCAACGTGATAATCCAAACTACCATTAGTTCTTAAACATCTCGGTTATTTTCACTAGTCAGGTTACTTCGAATGTATTAATTACATTTTGATCTTATAAAACTTATAACTGAATCACTGATTACTGTTAACATTAAATCCTATCAATGATTGTAACTAGAAAGTGTTAAATTGTTTAATATTTAGTCCATGTGTTTGTGTTGGTTAAACATGATGAATAGTTTGTTTTTATTATTATTCCATCAGAATAGCATAGAATTAACCAACAATTAGCTGATCAACTAATCTTAAGAGAATTCATTCATACAAAAATGGTATAGAATAATAATGTTTATAAGGATCACATCCTTAGGCAATATTGATGCATTCATATATGTAATATAAACACTAATTAAGCTAGATAAGAATAAATTATTCCTAGTGATCTATTAACTGTATGTATACCTTAGCATTTCTCAATTAGAGATCAATTTCATATCGCATACTTAGAGTAACCTGTGAACATTTAAAACAATAATTCGAGTCTCTGTGTTCAGAAGTACTTTATAATATCATTTTGGTTTCTTTTCAATCAGTCAATTAGTCAGTTACAATGTACGATCAGGCACATATATGTATCGGTACAAGTTGCCATACAACATTAGCACAACAACATGAACACCGAATTCATAGAAGTAGTTAATTCAGTAGTGGTATTGTATATAAATGAAAGATTGAATATAAGGAAGGAAGAATTAGTTCGTAGAGAGAAACATATAAAGCAATTTTAATCTCATAGTTTAAGGGAAGTCAGAGAGTGTATACACCTACGCCATTGTGATCGATTATGAGACATGTCACCAAGAGTCTCTAACCATTAGTTGCGATAGTCACGCGGACCCCAACCAGGCAGTCTGCATCTACCAACATGGCTCAGACCAGAAGTTAGTGATTTCAAGCACTGATGTCACGTTTTGGTTTGGCCGACCTCAACATTCTTCCAGCCATCCCCAACACTAGTCAGCATTGTGCGTCGTGGCAATCCATGTCCAGGCATACGTAACACGTAGCCCAACCATCTCAGTCGACGAAGATTTACAACCTCATTAACTGATTTATCATCATTTCCCAATACTATACGTCTAACCTCACTATTACTTAACCGGTAATCCCAGTAAATGCGATCAATATTTCTAAGACATCTGTGGTCAAATACTAGTAGCTTACGAATATCTTCTACTCTTAATGTCCACGTTTCCCAGTATACACTATACTACTGCTAGTACCTACACCACAATAAATATGTTTGATTAGCACTCATTATAAGACTGATTAAGAACAACTTATGAACTTCCATTCATTACTCAAAAGTTAAATAGGCTTATGAAAAAATATTTGCAATTATATAAATATCAGAAGGGGTTTTGTGGAGATTGTAGTAATTTCAATAATTAAGGTCATGAGTCAGTTGAAGCTAGACCACCGTGGAAAACCTGGAAGCACTGGACGGCCGGCTCAGTGGTCTAGTGGTTAAGTGCTCGCACGTGAAACCAGTAGGTCTTGGGTTCGAATCTCGCAGAGGGGCGAGGTCGTGGATGCGCACTGCTGAGGAGTCCATGGTGGTCTAGCTTCAACTGACTCATGATCTTAACCATTGAAATTATATAAATGTTCAACACAAAATTCATTTAATGTTTCATTCATTCCATTCTGAAATTACATCGTTCATTTCTACAATCGGATCAATATTCTATGTGGTGATTGTATTTTAGATAAAATATGATGTAACATATTTAATCTCTGATGAAGGGATAGGGGCATAAATAAATTTGATATAGGCTAAAATAACGAAAACTATCCATTCTTTTTTCTCGGATCATTTCTTTTTTTTCGTACATTTATCATATCACAAAATTAGCCCATCATATCATGCGAAAGAGAAAGAGGGGGTGAAAGAAACAGTATTTATGGTAGGGATGGGAACTGTTTTTTTTTCTGTTTGTTGAATTTTATCTCATTCATTGGTACTTAGACATAAAAGTGCTTAACACACACACACACACACGCAAAGAATTTCCCGACCAACAATTGTAATATCATTTAAGTAGAGAGAGTTGGAGTGGTGGTAGTTGAAAATGTTGGTTGATAAAAATTTTGGTTTAGAATCGGAAGACAAGCATAGTAATAGAAAACGTCTAAATGAAGCACTGTAAATGAAAGAAGGAATGAATAAAAAAGTTTAAAATTTATGATCGAAACGAAGATGGAGTGAATTTATTTAGACCATTGCATCTTCCTCTAACCCATATTATCCAATAAATCCAACTACTGGTTTCAATGATCATTAGAGCCTCAACCAGATAGCTTACATCTGCTAACGTGTTTCAGTTCTATGGTAATTGGATACATGGGTTGAATAGGTTGATTATGAATACAGTGGTCTTGAGTGTTGTTAGAGTTGGAAGGGTTCACCTGGCGGTACCTGATCTTAGTGACCTGTGATTGTGACCACAATAATCAAGGGACAACTGCTTGAGGTTGGTCACACACGACCTTTTTGTGAGTAATTTTCGTGTTAGCTCGCTATATCCCATGGGTGAGAATATTCAGGTTTTAAGAACTAGGTTCTGGTTCTGAACTTCTACCTATTTATTTTGGTTTAAGGAACTAAGTATTAAAAATTGTCTAATGAACCGGTTGGGCATGGGGTTAGCGACCCCATCCCGTAGAAAACTAACTCGCTAAAAAAACGCTAACTAGAAGTAATGAACCGGTACGTGATCAATGATTAACATTACTCGTTCTCGGAACTGAACAGTTTAGTTTCGAAGCTTCTAGTATAGTTCTTGATAAGTAAAGCCAAGCGTTTTAAATAATTTCACAAATACTTTTATAATGACTTTGTCAAGAATTGGTTGTCAACTGTTGTTCTGTTTTAATCATGTCTCCTTGTGATTATTTTGTTCAGTCAACCTTTGAATACTTATTGATAGATTAGATCTATATCGCCATAGTTATTAATTTCGGATTTAACGGAATACAATACGTCTCGAAATTCTGTGATATCCTTCGAAACCTCCTAAATTTAAAGTATTGATACTTATCCAATCAATTGTATATGTTCATAGTTGTTTGCTTGCATTGATATAAGTGGTAATAATGTCGTGTTTCACGATTGCTTAAAGTTGACTTTCAGTATGTTGTTCAGAACTGTAATAACTTTCTTAAAACGCCAACTCAGAACTACCATTATTTGTTGTTTCATTTTGGTTCACTGGCAATCAACTTAAAACTAATTGGCTATCAACTGGAATGTAACATACATCTGTTTCATCCCCCAATTCATTTATTGAGTATAGATTATTTATTTATTTATTATTTTATTTTAACACATAGATATTAGTACAAGGAGGCACCAAATACATATGCGCCACACAAATCTCATTTGATTCGTAAACAACAGTAATGCCACGAGAAAGCATTGAGTAGGACTTCCCTGGCAGAGTTTATATACGCGTGTCCATGTGAGAGCATTTGGGGGCCATTATGTGATTATCTTAATATGATCTTTTTTATGATATTTTACTGTTAATTACTGAATGATTTTATTTATCTATCTATTATGTTAATAACAGATATACAATTCATCATAATGAAGTTGTAGTATTAATGGCTAGTTTAACTACATGTGATCCAAGTGATATTCATCAAACTATTAAAAGTTTATCATCGAATAGAATACGTTGTTCTGTTATATCATTAGCTGTGGAAGTATTTGTTTATCGTGCACTTGCTCAATTTACACAAGGTAAGTTATAATTTTGTTTTTTGAAATTATATTTAACAAGTTATATACCTTTATATCATGTTGAATTATGAATGTATTTGGAACTAATCTGGCAAAGTTTATAAAATTTCTTTTTATATGAACATATTCATGATAAAGATGGGTAGTGGCTAGCAGTGAAATCCAGGATGCGCGTTTCTTCCTAGCTAAGTGGATGACGAGATGGTGTTTGAAGCGAACTGTGCTGGGTTCGAATCCCGGGTTGAACATCAACCCCGGGATGCAGGTACGTCCAGCTGACGAGTCTCAAATGGGACGGAACGCGCTTCAAACTAGATTCCACTATCCATCTTTGCTTAAAAAGCTTGTGATTCAATGCTATATCGATGCAATCCGCACAGGATGTATATATACCAACAAGAAACTGATCGCTTTCAGTTCTAAGTAACAATGGGAAGATACATGTAAAACAACACCAAGTGAATTTATATTCATGATAGATTTCATTTCTGACTCTCTGTTTCATCTAAAAGGAGGGGAACCGACAAAAGTTATGAATGAACGGCGGTGTGTATGTATTCTTATCCCTGAGAGTTTTAACTGTTTCATTTAATCTGATAATTTATGGGCATCTGCTTCTGGAGTTTATCCTCCTTACATATGACAGCGAGACAATAAAATAAAGCGGTAAGAGAGTACTTGACAATATAGTGAACATAATAAGCTTAAGCGTTGTTGAGAGCAGTACTGTTATAAACAGTATCAATAGTCTTTCTTTTTTATCTGCAAGCCTAAAGACAAGATTCGTAAGACAACTGCTTGGATGGGCCGTTCACATTTTTAATATTAGCTTTATACATTTCCCAAGCATTACAAATGGTTCCATAGATCTGTTAGATTGGGATGGCTGTGATATTTTTAGGACAGAATGTTTCTAATGTTTCGTTCTATCTTTGATAAGACTACTTGTTTGTGATAAAGTAACTGTATGTCCTTCCACTTTCATGCATTTAACACTTCGTTATTTGTTTGATGTCTGGAAGCTGTATTTGTATGTCCGAGACTTCTAAATTCAAGTAAATAATCTCAGTTGTCTTTTCTTACATGTATTCATTCTTTATTTTAACATCAGGAAGAAATATTCTATTAGCTTAGCTTATTATTGTATTCAGTCACTATCAGTGGTTACATTGTTCTGGGACTTCTAGCATAATCGAGTTCCACTCTAGTCCAGTCACCAAGCATCGCTAGAGGTATAGGGGTGATTATCACTTTCCTATTGCTCGTCTTTATGGACCTGAAAATGAAACTGGGTTAATCTCTTGACGATCTGGGAATTCGACCGAACCGTCCAATATAAAATCGACTGAGGCTAGTAAGATGGTATTTTTGTGAGAAATTTTTGTTGTACTGGTTCCGTACTTCAAAAGACCTTACCAATTTAGCTTGCACTCAAATTTACCAACCATTTGGTACAGACCATAAAGTATAGATTTGTATACACGGCTTTGAGAAGTACTTTCTCCGTTGCGACTAGTGATGCTAAACGACTGAACAAACCGAAATAATTGGAACGGGACATGGACCCCAATATCAAATATCTTAACTATCAAAACATTCCATTTATGATTGTGATGTGTTGTGAATAAGCAGTCAACAACTTTTACTCGTGAATTAAAACCTCATAGAAAAGGCTTTCTTACAAATCGTCCTGAAGCGTCATCTTTACCTATTAATTTTCAGTCCTACAGTTATGGCAGTCTTTATTATTATTATTATTATTATTATTATTATTATAGTTAGTCTAAATTCTTTTTGTTAATTTTTGTCTTTCAATGTGGTTTACACCAGGAACATTCCATGTTATTATGGATGAATTGCATTTGAAAAATGTTTTAAAAGATTTAGTGCCACCTCCAGTGGCTGCTGTAAGTTTTGTAATTGCATACATGTATATTTACTCTTAAGGGTTTACATTTGTTGAATGTTTATTTATCTGTCAAATTTTGAACCATTATTTTTATGACGGAACAATTGATCTATTCATACCATTAGGGTAACTGAATTGGGCCATCGGGACTGATTACCTAACGTCGATTGATGGTGATTATAAACCACTTATCAACTAACTGAATATATTCCAAAGGAATAAAATCAGAGAAGATAGAAATAAGAGTTACATATTAGAAAGTTAGTCTCAGCCTGAATATCTTAGTGATAACGCCTCGAATATCTTGACCTTAGTTCTAATACATGACAGCCCATCAATCCACCCAATAATTCAGGTAATTCTTGTTGATGAGTATCAACTAACATGTAAGTTAGATTAACGATTTCTTCCTGACTGTTTCAAAGCACCTAACATTAAAAACATACTGTACGTGGTGTTGAGTTATTTAAGTTTAGTGGTTACATTACAATTCGGTCGATATAACTCAATCAACATTAAGGTCAAGGCATACATGACATATTATATGCTTCTTATTGTGCAACATAGACTTTATAACATTGAACTAATGGTTATTTTGAAGGTTTTACAATTTATGGTTGTTGATATTCAGTGTTGAGTCTTTTATCAGTCTCTTTTAAGATATGTGCATCCTGAGGTGTTTGCTTTAATATCTCCTTTTAGTCACAAGCTGTAGTACAATTGAATTATAATCAGTAGTAGAATATGGGACTCGTATTTCATACTATTTATGGTAATTGTCATTTGGATTTTTATAAACTTCCTGTATTTGTATTCATATTGAGGTTCCAACACAATACCTATCGTTTCAAACGCTAACGCTTTACTTACCATTTCTCTTATGTATTCAGGGTGCATGGACTTATCTACAAGAGTTTGTGTTTTTCTGTTGTTAATATTAAAGAATGCAAAATGAAGATGGTTTAATTATTATGTTGAAATAGTTTGTATCTTAGACATATATTGAGTCCAACTTATTCAGGTCATAAAAAGGTAAATATTCACCATGGTGATGACGTACGTGTGTTTGGGTATGTATGAGGTCACTGTCTACAAAAGTTCAACTTTTCTAATCTTTTAATCTCAATCGATTTATGGAGTAGAGAAGACGTAGAATCTAATATGAACACAATCATGATGTTTAAGAGTATAGTACACTACCTGGAATCTATGCGATCATGTGAGTTTACATTGCGAAATTATTGAAAGTCAACTTATTTATGAGTTTCTTAATAACTGTTAATCAATCAGTCACAACATAGAATCTGTACGTATGTTCATCGGTTCGAGTTGCCATACCCCGTTAACAAAGAGATATAAAACTGTCAGACCAAATCCCAGAGTAGCAGAGGTAGTAACAGTATCAGTGGTAATAGGAAAGATTAAGCATCAAGGATACGACTCTAAACGGAAATATAAGTTAACGAAATAAAAACAGAAAGAAACTTATAAGGAACTGGGCCTACGCAACATATATCCCATCCACCTCAGATGATAACTCCAACTGCAGCTCTTCTGGAGTTACTGCCAGTCCAAGGCCCGGGCATTGTTGGAAGGTTGAACATGGGGTCGGTAACCCGTAGAAAAAAAATTTTGCTGAAAAATGCCAACCAGACTAAACAAATAAGTTTGTACGTATCATTACCAAGGTTTGACTTGTTAATTTCGATTGAATTAAGCATTGGGTAGATCGTTGTAAATAAATAGGTACCTCAGATGACGAAGATTCACTACCTCATCAATCGATTTCTCAGTAGTTTATTCCTAACTCCGTGGTCCCCAAATACACGAGCAATGCTTCGAAGACACCTATGATCGAATACTAGTAACTTACGAATATTCTCTACTTTTAATGACCATGTTTCACATCCTCGAAGTAGAATGGATTGAACTGCTATGCAGTGAACTCCCCCTTTGGTTGGCGAAAGCCAATCGAGCGTAGTAAAAAATCTACTCCTGGAAAGTCAGACGATAAAAGTTTGATCTCTAAAACCATATCTATGACAAATTTAAATAATAATGGAGAAAGCGGTCAACCCTAACGAACACCACTTCAAGTAACCAATTCAGATGACAGCTCGCCATAAGCTCTGACTCGACCAGAAGTTTTCGAGTAGATAGTCTGTACAAGGTTAATGTACTTCTTTGGTATGCCTTTCAATGACAGGAAATAGTGGGTAACTGAACTGTGGCCGAAGGTCAGTTGAACTGTTTCCTAAAATATTCTGCTCACCGATCCAAACTCCTTTATTAATAGTAAATAATGGTTCCATTTTTTACTGAGATAGTGTCACTAACAGCAGTATTTTTAATACACGTTTTCTTAATAAGTCTAAATAGTTGTCTAGTGTTATCTATCTCAGTTTTCATTTTCCATCTCTTCTTTCGCTGCACATCAATGATTACGATCACTACGTAGGCTTTTAATCAACCTACGGTTAAGTTGTCTCCGCTCCTCTGCGTCTGCTAAGCTAGACAGGATGAGTTTCCGAGCATCCATCAAATCTATAAACACCACTGCAATCCACTGATTTGTAGTAAACTTTTGATTTAAGTTACTAGTAGATATCACTTCTATTCTCATAGAGTTTGAACTAACCGAATGTATTTTAATATAAAATTACAGAATGTCTTAGTAAAATCTAAGAACCATACAGTAAATACTTCATTTGCAAAATTGTCTCAAACTTCATTTTTCCTGCATTTCCATACCAATTACTTCCTGTTCCCGTTCTTTCTTTTTCAATCTTCTCGACCTTCTTACTTATTTACTTGCTTACGCCTATTACTCCTAATAAAGCATAGGCCACCGACCAGTATTCTCCAACCCACTCTGTCCTGGATCTTCTTATCTAGTTCCATCCAATTCTTGTCCATTTCTCGACGTAATGTTTTCTTTGGTCTTCCTCTCCTCCTTTGGCCTTAAGGATTCCATGTGAAGGCTTGCCTTGTAACGCAGTTGAACGGTTTCCTCAATGTGTGTCCTATCCACTTCCAGCGCTTCTTCCTCTACTGGAATCTGGTTTGTTCTCTCCCACAGTATATATATATATATATATATATATATATATATATATATATATATATAATGAAATGTTCAGTGGTGTTTATCTGTTGTAATTATTTTAATTGATTTTGTTTGTTTATTTTTTTTTTTACTTTAAAAGGTTGAAACTGAAGCCAATCTCATTCGAATGGGTTAGTTTTATTATTTGATATATATATATATATATTTCTTTTTGGTGTTGTATGTTTTATAACAATATAACACCTTATAATTGATGAATGATAAATGAATATGATAAGGCAATATCTAATGTATAGATTCATGGAACAATATCGAGTCGTTGAGTCGATCGAATTCTTTCTTTATTTAATTACTTTCTCCTATGTCTACAGACACTTTTGACTAGATCATGTACAAACGTTATTTTCTATTTTATGATGCGGTCTGTTTGGTTGGTATAACAACTCAGTATGTCTGAAATATAATAATTCGCATTGTGGAGGCTGTTATTGGTATTCTGGATTCAGTTAGACGGGCTAGGCGAGCAACGGACCAATGGGATGCTAGGCTGATCAGACCGGTCGGACGTCATTGGTTTAGTACAGTATAAAAGCGAATAAGTCGTATTTTGATTGACGAATAGTTTATGTGATAACTAGCGAGCCAACAATTGGTGACGGGGATTTTGGCGAAATATATATATATATATATATATATATATATATATATATATATACAACAGTATTGTAAAGAGTTTATGGTGTAACTATAGGAAGTTCTTACTGTAATTCACTTAACTCAAAGAATAAAACAATGATCAATGATAGACGGTAATGGGAAAAACTTATTAAACGAATTATATTCACATTTATTGACAGATCTCATTGGTAGTTTGATGACTAGCCAATCAATATTAGATTGAGTGTAAATGTGAAAAGAGTTTCTTACTGAACATCACACTTATTGTATACAAAAGAATGTTAGCTTTAATAATTATTGCACACTGAAATTTATTTATTTAAACACATAAACATTGGTACAAGGAGGCACCAAATAAATATGCGCCACATAAGTCATTCGGTTTCTTTGAGGGCTGGAATACTGCCCGGGTGCCCAAAACGAAACAGGTGGTTTTCTTAGAAGGGCCACACCCGGAGCTCCACAAGGCAGTGGAGCAACTTTGGGAGATTCAGTCCCATGGTTGCTGGTGACCGATAATTAGTTCATACACTATTTGTTCACTCGGGATCCTTAAGCCGATGTAGAGCATTGGTTTGAAATCAGGGTTTTCTAACTGCCCTAGATGGACTATCCGTGTCCACCAACCCGGTTAGAGCGCCAGACATTCGCTTTTTGTCCTCTCAATTTCGTAAACAATAGTAATGCCACGAGAAGGCAGTGAGTAGGACTTCCCTGGGAGTGATTGTATGCACGTGGCTATGCGAGACGGAAAGTTGACTTTCTCCACTCTCAGCCGCACAAGGCGATTTTGGGATATTTACACATATTTATCCCGTCTTAACATTTCATATTTCATTTTTAACGCTTAAATTCCAATGTATTTAAGACTTATTCTACTAGACAATCAATAAAATTAAAGTCATACCAATTATTGCGATATCAGCATTTGAACTTAATATGACAATATATTTTAAGCTTTTTATATCACTTTCTGAATAAATAAGGACATTAACACAATAGTATCTAAGGTAGTTAAAACAAATTACAAACGAAAGAAAAGTAATTAGATAGTAATTGTATGGGGAGAGTAGTTCAAACACTTAACATGAGCTAATACCAACTGGTAAACAATTAATGATAACTTATCAATTGAGAGACCAAGCACGAAATCAAAGATTCAATCCAGTAGAGCTACATTATTGTTATCAAACTGCATCATTTAAATCAATGTAGTCCACTTCTTTTAGTATAGGGTTGTGAAGATTATTAAGTTTTTGATTGAGATCATCAACTGATTGATGTTAGACCACCATTGTAAACTTGGAAGCACTGGACGGCTGTTTCATCCTGTTGTGAGACTCCACGATCCCGTTTTGCGGGATTCGAACCCAGGGTATCTATTTTGCTTCATTCAATCAGCAATATGGCATAATCATTGTTAAATATCATTGTTGGATAACTACCTTTTTTCCTAATAAGCTGATCATTTTTAGAGAATAGGGACCATTAGATTTTTGAGTGAATGGTTTGAAAATGTCACTTGATTTATTGTGAAACTTGAAGTCCTATGTTCGATCTTGTGTAAGTTTGTGAATACACACTGTAAAGGAGTTGATAATTAATAACAATACTACAATACATTATTCCTTACCTTGCTGTAGCTTTTCAGCTTATATCAGTTCATATTGCAGGTTACTTTAAAAGTGTTATGACTTGTGGCCTGTCTGTCCTGTTAATGTATACATAATGATACCGCCAATTAGAGAGCAGTAAATTATCAATCGGACCAATGACGCATAAAACCCGTGAGAGCAGTCTAGAGTCCTTATTGGTCCTGCTTACTTCCTAGCTCAGCCAGTTAAGTCCAGAACACAAATCTCAGCCTCTGCAATATGAATCATGTATTTCAAACATACTCGGTTTATATACCAATCAACTAGACCACATCGTAACATAAAATAGGAAACAACATTTTTACAAGATTTAGCCAAATGTGGCTGTGAATGTGGGAGGCAGTGACTAATAGACAGGGTGTAATTCAAGAATGGTAAATCATATAATAATAGTTCATAAGTCAAAATAAAGCTTCTAATATGAGGGACATGAATATGAATAGTTTAGACAGTATTAATCCATAAATGGATCCCAAAAGTTATCATTCATTATTCTTATCGGAACATAACAAAAAGTCAATAACATTCCTTAAATTCACTTAAACAAATAGAAAATACATTTCTCAATTGTATAATTTTTAAATCATACACTTTCCTATGAATTAAATATACTATAGAGAGGTGCATTCATCTCGTACTTAACATGTATTTGACCATTTTAGATATGATACCAATGACTTGTACCTAGTATTACTAATTTAGTATTTTTACATATTGTAACTTTATTACTTACTTACTTACTTACGCCTGTTACTTCTAATGGAGCATAGGCCGCCGATCAGCATTCTCCAACCCACTCTGTCCTGAGCCTTCTTTTCTAGTTTCATCTAATTCTTGTTCATTTTTCTCATGTCTATCTCCATTTCCCGGCGTAATGTATTCTTTGGTCTTCCTCTCCTCCTTCGGCCTTCAGGATTACATGTGAGGGCTTGTCTTGTGACTCAGTCGGGTGCTTTCCTCAATGTATGTCCTATCCATTTCCAGCACTTCTTTCTGACTTCTCCCTCCACTGGGATCTGACTTGTTCTCTCCCACAGTAACTCCATACACAAATTTATTTGTAGCTATTTAACAGTCTGAGTAGAGTTGGTCGATTAAAATCCTCTATTTATTATATTATAGTAACACATTGAATTGATTAAGAAGGTACATGTGATTTACCTGATCAATTTGATAGATTAAAATTGTTATGATTTCTTCATTTTTAAGTTGCTATCTATTGTCATTTTGAAAAAAAAAGTTTTACATTCAATGTGAAGCTAAACTAGAACATGAAATTTATATACACCTTTTTATGATCATCATCACAGAAATGTTGTTCGTAGGAAGTGATAAGTCTTGCAAATTGAACGCTTTATTCGGTTCCTAATCTATTCTCGTAACCCTCAAGTTAGAACTACACAGCGACCTGAACACGAGAGGAAAGGATTAAAATATGTGAGAGGTTCGTTGTAGTACAGAAAATATAGGGTTATTTTAGTATTTTTAAATGTTCTTGGTTTTTCCGAAGATTCTGGAATGCTACTAAACATAGTAGCAGTATGGTAATCAACCAATTAGAAACTCCATATGTGACGTTTCAGTTTCTTGATGTTTCTGGCTAAACTACAAGTGAATGCTGATTGGATGAAATGCATCTTAGTGTTTCTTGAACCTTTCTTGCCTTTTGCGAGAAGTTTTATGGATCACCCCAACAGGAAGTAATTAACATCAAGGTACTTTTATGTACAATTCCGTCTAGAGCCACTCTGAGTCTACTGCCGGTCCCAGGTTCGGATAAAAGAGGCAGGTTGGGCATGGGGTTAGTGTTGACTAGGAAAAATAATTCAAACCGTTTAAACTCTACCCTGGGAGTTAGAAGGTCTTCATTTAGAAGAGTTATGATGCCTTATGATGAAAGCCGAATTCCTTCGAAAGTCACGAGGCTGATGCTCTCTTCTGACAACCAGAGCAACCATTAATTTAGGTACATGGAATGCTCGTACAATGTGTGTGACCGGAAGAGTCTTCCAAATTACTGCAGAAATGAAGAGATATATGCATGTATACCTGAATAGATAAAACAATTATATCATGTATATGTGTGGAAACATGTAAATAGGGAGGAGCAATCGTGATTTGCAATTAAGGATGGGTGAACATATACCAAAATGGTTGCAGATAGACAAACATCATCCTCCATTGCGAAACATTTGATTGAAACCGGTCTTAAGGTTGACATCAAATCAACATTTGTAAAATTATATCATTGTTTTATCGATGATACAACTCATCATTATTCTGAACACGTGTCATGAATTTTGTATAAGGCTTTCAGTTATAATCTATAATATTTATAAATGGGTTAGTGGTTAACAATGCCATTACGACCACCATACTTCGCTTTATGAACTTAAAGAAGTGAGGTAAATTTAAAAGAAAAAGGATGTCATGTTCAATCTATTCATCAACTATGTATCCATTCATAGCAACAGTGATTTTGTTTTTACAAATCTATATTGTAGTGTGATAAATCAATTGACAAGTTAAATTTCACCGTTCTTAGTACTTATCATCAAAGACTGCGTGTATAATGTAAACCATCCTCTGTAGAGATTCAAATACTAAAAGACACTACATTTTATCAGCGTCTTCAATCAAACAGGACTATATCATCTAGGTATTCTATGTTCATACGTTGATTGATAATTTTTCTGGTTAACGTAATTTTTTATCAATCAACTTATGAACATAGAATACGGATCATTGTGGAACAATCAATTGAATGGAATTCATCGCTCTACATCAACATCATTGACTACGAAAAAGCATTTGACAGCGTAGACAGAACAACATTATGGAAGCTTCTTCGACACTACGGCGTTCCTGAGAAGAAAGTCAATATCACACTGAATTCTTATGGTGGATTAAACTACAAAATCGTGCATGGAGGACAGTTGACAAACTCCTTCGAGGTAAAGACCGGTATCAGGCAAGGTTGCTTACTCTCACCCATTCTCTTTCTCCTGGTGATCGACTGGATCATGAAGACGTCAACATCTGAAGGGAAACACGGGATACAGTGGACAGCTAGGATGAATTTGGACAATCTAGACTTTGCAGATCATCTGGCTCTTCTATTGCAAACGCAACAACAAATGCAGGAGAAGACAACCAGTAAAGCAGCAGCCTCAGCAGCAATAGGTCTCAATATACACAAAGTGAAAAGCAAGATTCTCCGATACAACACAGCATGCACCAATCCAATCACAATTGACGGGGAAGATATGGAAGATGTACAAACCTTTACATATTTGGGCAGCATCATTGATGAACACGGTGGATCTGATGCAGATGTGAAGGCACGGATCGGAAAACCAAGAGCAGCATATTTACAAGTGAAGAACATCTGGAACTCGAAACAATTGGCAACCAACACCAAGGTCAGGATTTTCAAAACAAATGTGAAGGCAGTTCTACTGTATGGGGGCGGAAACCTGGAAAACCACGAAAGCCGTTATCCAGAAGATACAAGTGTTTATTAACAGTTGTCTACCCATAATACTTCGAATCCATTGGCCGGACACTATCAATAACAACCTATTGTGTGAGAGAACAAGTCAGATTCCAGTGGAGGGAGAAATCAGAAAGAAGTGCTGGAAATGGATAGGACATACATTGAGGAAAGCACCCAACTGTATCACAAGACAAGCCCTCACATGTAATCCTGAAAACCGAAGGACGAGAGAAAGGCTCAGGACAGAGTGGGTTGGAGAATGCTGATCGGCTGCCTATGCTCCATTAGGAGTAACAGGCGTAAGTAAGTAAGTAAGTACGTTGATTTAGCTTACATTTCAATCTATCTAAATTGAATCAATAAATCAGTTTGATAATGAAAAAATAATACACATTCATTCTGTATTATATTTTGTGTTTGTTTATTATTAATTTAGGCTTTCCACATTCTGAAACTTTTGATCTTGATCGTTTCGCTATTAAACGTTGTATGTGGTAAGTTTTAATTGTCATATTAATCGTTTTCTTTGAATTTTTTTTTTTATTTTTTTAAATGATTTATTATTCACCTAATAGAATTTGATCAATTATCTGATTGGGTTGTAATTTTTCTTATATGTACTATCATAATCTCATATCTTTGGAAAATGAACTTAGTTGCAGATCTATTAAACTATTCTCAATCTCTGAATGATAGCTTACAATGTTGTTATGGATTAGTGGACATAAATTAGTGTGACATGGAGTTCGAACCCATAATGTTTCGAATTTTTAATGGACATTTGAATCGTACATTTTATTAATGAATTCAATTATTAGCGAAATAGATATCATGAATTTCACTGTTAGCTAATTTTTCAAAGTATAATTCTCCTATAACAGATTCAATGGTGTAGAGATTAAGTGTTCGCACGCAAGACTGAAGGCCCTGTATTCGAATCCTATGAGGCGGAATCGTGGACGCGCACTACTGATGAGTCTCACAACAGGACGAAACGGCCGTCCAGTGCTTCTTGGTTTTCAATGGTGGTCTAACATCAATCAGTTAATGATCTCAATCAAAAACCTAATAATCTCCACAACCCTATACTGATAGTTGTGATTTGTTAATTAATTCACACTATATAACTTCAACTAAGTAATATAAGTGATATTAAATATACTGTGGACACTGTTACTGATAGGAATGATTATCGATTGTCTAAATCTTAGTATAATACACAATAGACAATCTTTGCATATATACAAGAATTATCATCAGATATTATTTATTTATTTATTTTAACACATAGATATTGGTATAAGGAGGCACCAAATACATATGCAACACACAAATCTCATTTTATTTGTGTGAGGGCTGTGATACTGCACGGGTGCCCAAACCGAACCAGGTGGTTTTCTTAGAGGGCCACACTCAGAGCCTTCGACCTAAAGGTCTGAATCGTAAGGCAGTGGAACAACGTCAGGATATGCAGTCCCATGGTGACCGGTAACCATTAATTGGTTCATATTTCATTTGTTCCTTCAGGATACTGCAGCCCATGTGCACCATTGGTTTGGAATCAGAGTTTTCCAACTTCCCTAGGTGGACTCTCCATGTCCACCGACCCGGTTAAAGCACTGGACATTCGCTTTTCTTCCTTTCAATTTCGTACACAACAGTAATGCTGCGAGAAGGCAGTGAGTAGGACTTCCCTGGCAAAGGCTATATACGCGTGGCATTGTGAGAGCATTTGGAGCGGTCGTACTAGGGCATTTGGGGGCGGATTTGACATCCAATACCTTTTGAGTCTTCGCTTAGGTTTCGCATTCTTGTATGATGATGACAGATTGTTAGGTATTTTAAATAACTTAACAGTAGGGAAAATATTTAAATGTGTAAGAGATATAGTGTAACATGTATAGTATTATAAAGGCTGAAAACGAAGATAGCTGTTCATTCATTATCCTTTTAGTTAATGATGATTCCTTAAAGTAACAACCAATTTATGATATGATAGTTTTCTTCGTATGAATTAAATGATTAAATAATGAAATACACTTTTTTCTCTTTTTCAGTCATTTATCCAATAAATCAACAAACGATAAAACTGATACTACTACTACTACTACTACTACTACTAATCCACATTATGCCTGTCCAAGATGTCATGCTGCATATTGTGAATTACCAGTTGAATGTAATGTTTGTGGATTAACATTAGTGGCAGCACCTCATCTTGCACGTGCTTATCATCATTTATTCCCATTGGATTTATTTGAACCAGTAAATGGTAATGATAGTTCTAGTGAAACATTATTAGATAATCAAGAAAAATCAAAAGAAACTATTGATTCAGGAGATAATACTACTGATCATCAATCACGTGTTTGCTTTGGTTGTAATGTATTGATACCGTTGAAAATTCCTGTGAGTTATGAATTAATTAAATACATTGGTTAATATTTAGTTTGTTCAATGTCCTGGTACGGCCGAGAGTGGGGAGAGTCCGCTCACCCTCTCCAAATGCTCTTACATGGCCACGCGTATACAGCCTCTGCCAGGGAAGTCCTACTCATTGCCTTCTCGTGGCATTACGGTTGTTTACGAAAATGAGAGGACGAAAAGCGAATGTCCGGCGCTTTAACCGGATCTCTAACCAATGGTGCACATGGGCTCCGGTATCCTGGGGGAACAAATGGAGTATGAACCAATCGTTGGTCACCGGCTACCATGGAACCGCATCTCGTTACGATGCTCCACTGCCTTGTGGATCAAATCTTCAGGTCGAAGGCTCGGGTTGTGGCCCTCTAAGAAAACCACCTGCTTCGGTTTGGGCACTCGTGCAGTATCACAGCCCTCACACATATCTAATGAGATCTATGTGGCGCATATGTATTTGGTGCCTCCTTGTACCAATATCTATGTGTTAAAATAAAATAAAAAATAAATAAATATATCACGAATCGAGCTATTACACTTGATTGTCTATCAACATGACAAAACACATTACTAAATGTTCATCCCATTGAGTCCGTCTGACCTTGATAGCATATGTTTTCCCAGCTGTTATTAAATGATCAGTGTATTTTTTTCATAAGTTTGCATGCTATCCAGCGAATAAGCGAAAATATGCTTGTACAAGCAACAATGGCTACTCACAAGGTTCTGATTCACAATTCTATCAAATGCTAGCTTAGCATTCCTACTATGTAGATAAAATCTGACGAGGTAGATGAGAAGTTTGACTTGAGAGTATTTCGATGTATTGCGAATGTTGTAAAACTAGTGCTTGGTATTAATGGACAAATGATATATTTCTCCTGTTAATAAATAATACGTATGGTTTAGCCATACAAAGTAAGTTGTCCTTGAACGATTCTGTTGGTTCCGAATATCTGGCAAAATAACAATTATGTATGTGTAACCTTGTTCACAAAATGGATAAAGGATTATGCGCTATGATAAAAACTTGGCATGATTTAGAAACTTCCTCGACGCATCTAATATTACACAAACAAATATTGTCTTTCATATACTAGAGTTTAAGTTGATGAAAATTTTCTTGGTTTCCTTTCATTGATCGTATTACTGTATTAAGTATGTAACTGACTCGAAAACCACATGAGTATTTGTGCACTATGTAACAAACGATAGGCTTGATTCTTTGTACCTGTTTGTGTTCATTACCAAGGAATCTAAAACTAGAGTGAAACATGTGGTTGGTACTTTCTTCAGTTGTAGCTACATTTACGTAGCTACATTGGTTCTAGCTATCGGAATATATCGGCAAAGTGAGATGGAATCAACAAGATCAATCTGAAAGTATCATTAGCAGTATAGAAAAACAGGCGTAGGTAATATGGATGGAGAAGAAAAATAAATTTACTGGATCAAAAGTAATAATTGTTCTATTACCATCAGTTTTGAGTCACATCACCCGTTGTTCTCATTTATTAGTTACCAAGTTGTCTAAACCTAACAGCACGACTCATTCTTACTGTCAGCAACTTCATGGACTGATATCAAGTCTTGTATCTTCCACCCCTGACTTTTTTTCAGAGTACTGCTACATCAGCACACAGCTTGTTGTCTAGGTAGATAGTGGCCAGACATACGTAATACATGTGAATAACAACTACAATTGATGACGATTCACTCTCTAGTACCTTTTATCTAACCCCAACATTACTCATTTAGTGGCTTCAACATCATCACCATAGAAATGAAAAATAAATTCATACAAACGACAATACTAGCTATGTATGTGAATTCACATGATCAAACCTTTCACTTAACTTAGTGATACACTTATTTACAAAATAATACTTAACATGAATATAAGATTTTTAAAGCGTTAAGTGATTGTAGGCTTGCAATTTGATGGGTAAGTACACTCACTAACTAATGAGTATTGAGGCACTTATATTTGGACTATTGGCTCCGAAGGCACTATTGTAACTGGGTGGTCGATTGTGTTTTATCCACACAGTTTCTGTTGGACACAAATAACCAACTGCCGTTGCTGGTGAGTCGTCGCTGTTATGTGCGTATCGAATCTATTAAATGTTTACTCTTACTGCTTATACTTTAAAATAGGGGAACACTGCAATTCCTCGATTCTACTGCTTATACTGTGTAATGAGAACCACTACAATTTTTTACTATGCAAAGTGACAATACGAAAGATTGATACAATCAAGATCTATTGACTCTTCTAAAACACTACTCCAAACAACTCCCAAAATCGAATCCTCATTAGACCGAAATACAGTCATTTATATAATCATTTTTACTCACAGTTATATCATATAGATGGAAATACATGAAATCATTGTAATAAAACATACACAGTAAATACAATTCACTTGAATTAATACAGGGACCCTAATTTTCATGCTGTGGCAAAGTTCACATCTGTCACCCTGACCAAAATTCATAATGAATCGATGTAAAAAGTATTGACCTAAATAATGTCAGAAGTGTTTTTGTGGATATTGTACTAATTTCAACGGTTGAGATCATGAGTCAATTGAAGCTAGACCACCACGAAAAACCTCGAAGCACTGGACTACCATTTCGTTCTATTGTAGGACTCCTCATTAGGAGTTCGCAATTACGATCCCACCTCGCGAGATTCCAACTCAGGACCTATCAGTCTTGCGTGTGAGCGCTTAACCTCAAGACCACTGAGCTGGCCGGAGTCCAACAGTGTTAGTGTCTAACTTCAACCAATCCATGAAATTGAGCCACACATCCAGCATTGTCATCAGTGAGTTACTATTTCACAACAGACCCAGTTAAACTCCACCGGTCACTGGTTCTCAGTAGAAATCCAGCAAAGACCTCTTGAAACCACTCACTAGTGAGTATATGTTGATTTATATCGGAAGTGTTTTTTTGTGTGGATATTATCGTAATTTCTATAGTTGACATCATGAGTCTAATAAGTTCTGGGTTCAAATTTTACGAGTTGGGATCCTAGATATGCACTGCTTCGGTTTGGGCACCCGGGCAGTATCACAGCCCTCACACAAATCAATTGAGATTTGTGTGGCGCATATGTATTTGTTGCCTCCTTGTACCAATACCTATGTGTTAAAATAAATAAATAAATAAAACTGCTTAAGAGTCCTACAATAGAATGAAACGATCGTCAATTGCATCTAGGTTTTCCTTTAATGGTGGTCTAGCTTCCATGAAATCAATGATCACAACCATTGAAACTAACTATCAGGTTCAATTATTCCTTGTATGATCGATTTTCTTTAAAATTTTATTTCCTGATCAAAATGAAATCATTCCTCTTTGTTTATTTGCTTTTGTCTTAGGGATATCAATGTCCTAAATGTAAATTTATATTCTGTCATTCATGTGATGCTATCCTACATGATTCTATTCATTCATGTCCTGGATGTTTAACTTTATTATGATGAATGAATGAATGAAACATCAAATTGATGAATTCAGATCATTTTTTTTATATCTATATGAATTGAACAAGAAAATTGTTCAGTCCAATGGCATTTTTTTTTTTTTTTTGATAGCATTTCCCTATATATAACTGTAAAATAAATGTTCCATTTTTGAATGACCAGTTTGTTTGTTTTATGTGTTTATTATGGTGATTACATTTAATAAAACTTTATATACTTGTTATAAGCAAAGATAGATGAGGGTTGTTTTCGATGTATAGTGTTTGAAATTGGATACTAATGCTAAATATGTAATGAGTTAATCTACCCACCTCTCTCCCTCCCCCGATTGACTACTTGAGTGAGAACACAAGAGGGAATGAGTAAGTGTATTGGACTACTGAATAAAATGCACAAATACTCATCTATATATGTATATACCAATCAGCTACAACGTAGGATCAGGCATATATGTGCATCGGTACAAGTTGCCATACCTCATTAGCACAACAAGATGAACACCAGATTCATAGAAGCAATCAACTCAATGGTGTAATATGTAAAGGAAAGATTGCATTTAAGGATATAGTAAAGGAAGAAAGATTTCGTACGTAGAAAGAAATATATGAAGCGATTTTAATCTCATAGTTTAAGGGAAGACAGAGAGTAAATACACCTACACCATTGTGATCGATTATGAGACATGTCACCAAGAGTCTCTAACCATTAGTTGCGATAGTCACGCGGACCCCAACCAGGCAGTCTGCATCTACCAACATGGCTCAGACCAGAAGTTAGTGATTTCAAGCACTGATGTCACGTTTTGGTTTAGCCGACCTCAACATTCTTCCAACCATCCCCAACACTAGTCAGCATTGTGCGTCGTGGTAATCGGTGTTCAGGCATACGTAACACGTGAACCAATCATCTCAGTCGATGAAGATTCATAACCTCATTAACTGATTTACCATCATTCCCTAATACCCTGCGTCTAACTTCACTCTATCCTTAGGAAATTGACCAATTTTGCCCCTAATGAAATGCACTTAACTTTTATGTCACTTCTGATTGCTATCGATTTAGTTTTTAATTAAGCTACTTGTGATTGGTACTTCATATCGGTGCCTAGCAATGGAATCCAGGACGCGTGTTTCATCCTGTTTGGGACTCGTCAGTTGGATATATCTGCTATATATATATATATTGTAGAGTGTTTTTCTCATATGATGTTTATAAAAGTCTTAGATATTGATTGGCCAATCGATAATCCGTTGTACTGTACTGTGTTTCACGTTGAGAAAACAGTATGTCCTTCTGATTTTTAAAGTTTCAGACTATGATGTATCTGTTAATAAATAATGCAAAAACATCCTCGACTATGTATGCAGTGTATGTCGGATAAATTCATCCAATAAAGAGGCAAATAAATTTCATCAAATGATCCAACTAAGTAAACCTTAGTAGATCTTTAAGTAAACGGAATATACTCATCAAAATAATCTACACAAATAGCAACAATCGAGGCTCGAAACCGTTTAGATGAGTCATCGGCAGGAGAATTTATCACTGAAATGGGGTAGGAAAAAGGCTATGAGTATTAGAATATTAAATATCTCTAGATTGTAAATTACAATTTTATATCTTCATATTTTTCTTTCTACGAACTAATTCTTCCTTCCTGTACTATGCCTTTATATGCAATCTTTCTTTTATATATTACCACCATTGAGTTAACTTACTTACGCCTGTTATACTCCTCGTGAAGGAGCATAGACCGCTCACCAGCATCCTCCATCTAACCCTATCCCAGGCAATCCTTTCCAGTTCTTATTCATCCTTTTCATATCTGATTCTATTTCCCATTGAAATGTGTTCTTTCATCAAACAACGGGCATTACTGTAGAGTACATTAATATATATTCATTTGTATGAAGAATATCAAAATTAAACTAATCAATGTTAATGATGAAATAGATTGCATAACTAAACATAATAAGTGATAAGTACAAATTGGTATTAGTAAGATAACTGCTATGCTGATAGCGATACTGAGAGCTTGAATAGATGTTTCAACATAAGAAGTAGATCAAAACTTGAGAGAATGAACAAAGCGACTCAATAAAAGTTACGTGATAAGTGATGTGCGAGAGAAAAAAGTGCAATCGGATGATATGGAGAATTCGTTCTATTAACTATTTAGTCTTGTCATGCAAAAGAAACTAAAGCAATTTTTTGCTTCACGACTGGTCTGCGTCAACACCTGAACTAAGGATAGGGAGTGAAGTAGTCGAACGCGTTGACAACTTCACTTATCTTGAAAGTCTGATCAGCCTTAATGGGTCGTTGTCTGACGAAATCTCAGCATGAATTGTAAAAGCTTGTTTGGCCTTTGCCAAATTACGTCATCTATTACGAAGGCGAGATATCCGTCTATCAATAAAGGGATGAATACACTGCGCGGTAGTTCGTTCTGTTCTACATTACGGCTATGAAACGTGACCATTAATAGTAGAAGATATTTATAAGCTACTAGTATTTGACCACAGATGCCTTAGAAATAATGATCGCATTTGTTGGGATCACTAGGTAAGTAATAGTGAAGTTAGACATATGGTATTAGGGAATAATGGTAAATCAGTTGATGGGAATGTGAATCTTCATCGACTAAGATGGTTGGACCACGTGTTGCATACGCCTGAACACCGATCAGCACGACGCGTAATGCTAACCAGTGTTGGGGATGGTTGGAAGAAAGTTAGGGGTGGCCAAACCAAAACGTGGCATCAGTCCATAAAGTCACTAACTTCTACTTCTGAACACAGAGACTCGAATTATTGTTTTAAATCTTCACAGGTTACTCTAAGTATACGATATGAGATCGATCTCTAATTGAGAAATGCTAAGGTATACATACAGTTGATAGATCACTAGGAATAATTTATTCTTATCTAGCTTAATTAGTGTTTATATTACTTATATGAATGCATCAATATTGCCTAAGGATGTGATCCTTATAAACATTATTATTCTATATCATCTTTGTATGAATGAATTCTCTTAAGATTAGTTGATCAGCTAATTGTTGGTTAATTCTATCCTATTCTGATGGAATAATAATAAAAACAAAGTATTCCTCATGTTTAACCAACTATTTTGATTAGAATACCGTCGAATATCCTTAGGGCAAAATCATATTCTTACATTTCTCCTCTATCTCCAACCTTTTCTTTTTTTTTCTATTAACTACATTAAACCATATTAAATGATGATATTGTTTTTACTTGAATGTTCCCATTGATGTTTAGGACTGAAATTGATCAGTCTCTTATTGGCACATCTGCGTATTGTCTTAATATTACCTTAATTTACAAGCATTATAAGCTTCGTTATAAACTTCACCTCATTGTACAAGCAAGTGGCTATGAGGACTCAGTAGCTAAGTGGATAACTCGATGGCGTTTGAAGGGGACGATCTTGGATTCGAGTCCCACAGTAAACATCAACTTTGAAATACAGGTACATTCAGCTTGACGATTTCCAAATAGGATTCCACTGCTAACCACTATCCATCTTTGCTTATAATATTTAAAAAAATGATTATTTTCTCTTTACCTGATTCTATTCATTCATTGATTAAACAGAATTAACATTTTAGTTGTTAAACCTTTATTACTATGTACTGGTCAATTAAAGTTAGTTAGTTAGTTAGTCACCTATTTCTAATGCTGATGATGATGATGATGTTGATGTTCATCTTCAATGAATAGATTGTTTATCATACAATATCATCAAAATGTTTCTTGTTTGAACATGGTTTTATAGTCTATCTATATTGTTGGCAAGTAAACTGCTATAGTATAACATTTATTTAGATTTTATCGTTTTGTATATCCATTTAAACCTTATTAACGAAAATTGTGACTAAGTTGTATAGTCAGAATAATAACAAATATATGATGAAAGAAAATAAATTCACTTTAATAATTCATCTATTGTATGAATATATTTTGGCACAATATATGTCTCCGGGCGTGGCCTACCCTATCCCCCTGAAGTTAACTACCTGCTTCGATTTGGATACCCGGGCAGTATCACAGCGTATATGCGATTCAAGTGACTTGTATGAACCATTTATATTCAGTGCCGTTTAGTACTAATATTTATGTCAGTCAGCAACAATGTAGAATTTCGTACGTACGTACATGAGATCGAGTTGTTATACCACATTAGCTCACAGATACAATTGTCAATACAAATCCCATAATGATAGAGGTAGTAAAAGTATAAGCAGTAATTGGAAACATTAAGGTTTGAAGATGTTATTTTCAAGGAGTATAATCCAGTGAAATAAATTTGAAACGCGAAAACAAAGGATATGAAGGACTAGAATTTGGGAGAACACAAAGAGTCGATGCTTCTGTGCCATTGCAAACGACTTTGAGGAATGTCATTCAAGGTCTCTAACCACCGGTTGCCACCGTCTCGCGGATCCCAACCAGGTGATCTACACCTACCAACATAGCTCACTCACTCCACTTGTCAGTAACTTCATGGATTTGTGCCATGTTTTGGTCTGGCCGCCCCTACCTTTCTTCCAACCTACTCCTACACCATAAAATATCGCTCGTCGTGGCAGTGGGTGGTTGGGAATACGTAACACATGTCCCAGCCATCTCCACTGATGAAAATTCACTACTTCATTCATTGATTAGCTATCCATACCTAGTACCCGTTTTCTTAGCAACTGTATTACTTATTCGATAGTTCCAGGATATACATGTAATGCTTCAAAGACACCTATGATCAAATAATAATGATTATATAATATTTAAACTGATCAAACAAACGTATTCAATTATTCAATATTGATTATAGTTTGTTATCCAAACTTATCTATTCTTGTTTACATTCTGTTACTCATTTTCAAAATTATTGATTTTTCTATCTAAACTCTTCTATATTTACTTAACTCATTTACCAACCTTTCAACAATCCCATAATGAATAATTCATTATAAA